CAGATGAATCCAGATACCAAAACAAGGGAGAGAAGTACTCTGTCCCACCCAAACCAAGAAAAATGTTACCCAGTCTACAGGATCCCAGGCAACAGGAGCCCTGGGGCTTCCAATTCCTTCAAGGGGAGACATTCACACACTGACTCTTTTTCTGGGGGGCTGTTTCAGACCTGCCTACCCACAGGGCCGGTGCAACCACTAGGCGAACTAGGCAGTGGCCTAGAGCGGCAAGTGGCTGGGGGTGCCCCGGACCGTCCTCAGGCATAGGCAGCTGGGTAGGGCACCTGAAAATTTGGGGCATCACTGGGTCTTAGTGTCCACCCTACTGGTTTTCCTATCCCTGTTCTGACCCTTCCTGCAGGCTCTGAGTCTTCCTGGGAAGGGGATCTAGTAGTTAAAAGAGAAACAGTCTCCAGCCTGCCAGACCTATTAGCACAACACTGAAACTGTTAAAGAGCCATTCAAGGGGTAATGAAGACATTTAACAAGCATTTGCCAACCCCCAGGTATCTACTGTCAGTTTCTGAATGTATGACAAAAACAGTTGTGCATCACTGTAATATTTACTCAGAACATGTCAGTCTACAGGACCTTAGTTTAAAATTTGCTTTAAAAATATTTCATTAGTGAGTTGGTGAAGATTATAAAATCACATCTCTAAAAAATCCTTGCGTAGATTTTTAGATGCACAATCATCTTTAGTAGGGTTACCATATTTGAACTTTCAAAAAAGAGGACACACCACGGGGGAGGGAGAGGGAGGGGTAGCCCCGGCCCCTAGCCACTCCCTCCCACTTCCCGCCCCCTACAGAACCCCCAACCCATCCAACCCCCCCCCCCCCGCTCCTTGTCCCCGGATCACCCCCTCCCGGGATCCCTGCCCCTTGTCCCCGGATCACCCCCTCCCGGACCCCTGCCCCTAACCGCCCCCAGGGACCCCATCCCCTATCTAAGCCTCCCTTCTCCTTGTCCCCGACTGCCCCCTCTTGAGACCCCCCCCACCCTAATTGCCCCCCTAGGATCCCACTCCCTACCTGTCCCCTGACTGTTCTGACTCCTATCCACAACCCTG